ATAGAAATTACGTACTAAATATATAAAAAAAATGTAATAATAAATACATTTATTTTTCATTAACTTTATTATTATAATAGATTAATTAATTTCTTTAATAACATAGTCGATTAAATTTAACACAGAGATTAGTTGCAAAACTCATTCACTTAGAAAATTTCACTTAAAATAATTGTTACTAAGATATTATTTTATCTGAAGATTATATTGAAAAAATGGGCATTGAACGGTTATTAAAAACATTTCAAGTTTTTGTAATAAGTAATCGGATATTACACTCTTCCATATGGAATTAGCTTAATTCGTATATTAGACATATAGGACATTAAGGCCAGCAATAAAGATTTAATTGCACAAATCTTGTAAGAGTTTTTTTTACCTATCCAAATACAACGGTTAAATTATTGTAATTATATAATACCATTACTTTTTCTAATTTAAACTATTTTGTGTAGAAGAAGATACATTTATCAATCGAGTCGCTTCATTAATTTAATATTTATTAGAATTGCTATTCTGTAAACGATAACAGTCATTTTATAAGAACATTATATTAAATTTCTCTTTTATTGTATTATTCATATACTTTTTCTATAAAATAATGTAGGTTTAATTTCTAATATAATCTATATCAAATTGAGTTTAATTGTAGCAATTTATTATTATAAGTATTAGAATAACTCTTCATAAATAGGTTTCAATTAAAATAATATAGAAGAGTTTTTGTATTGAATCTTAAAGCAACAAATGAAGTAGAAATAAGCCATACAAAATAAGAAATTCGGATCGTTTTTATAAAAACTATTGAAAAACCAGAAAATTATTTGTAATTATTGTCTAATGTTTAAAACAAAAATATTTAGTTTTTTTGTAATATCTATCAATTTTAAAGTTATATCAAATTTTTAAGTTTAGAAAATCTTAAAATAAATAAATTTACTTCTATTTAAAATAATTTGATAAGACCAAGATAATTCAGTTTTTGACAAAGTTCAATATATAAAATTTATTTATATCCCATACATTCTAAAGTCACATCACATTTTATTCCAAAACAAGTTGAAGTTATTAAAATTTTAATGAAAATGATAAAATTTATAGTTGTCTACAAAAAAAATATTTATGTATATACATTTTTCCATCTTTTTTAAATAACTTAAATATTTATAAAAGTTTTATATTTGATTTTTGTTATTTTAAATTGTTTTTTTTTAAATATTCATATAATCAAGAACATGTGTTATACAATATAATAATAATACAACTAGTATTATTTTATATAGTAAATTTACTTATTAAAATTACAATTAAATTTGTGTAAACGATCAAAGTCATTTTATAGGAACATTACATTAAATTACAATTTTATTGCTCAATTATTGTAGATTTTCCATTAAGAAATCAAGGTTCATTTTCTAATATTGTCTTTACAAAATCTAGGTTAATTATACAAATATATTGTAAAAACTATACAACAAAAAACTCTGTATAAATAGGCTTTAACTTATAACATAGAATAAATTTAGTACAAACAAATTATTAGCTAAAACAAAAATATTCATTTTTTGGCTTTAAATCAATTCGATTAACACCTTGCTCAATAAGTTCGTAGGATGATTTTTAGAAAGTACTAATCTTCATGTGACGCCTGTCAAAATTTCATGGCAATTTGACGTTCAATTCACATGTTACAGTGGTTTTAGTGACGCTACTTTTGTAATTTTCAAAACAATGGAAAAATCTGAACTTCATGTGTTGATAAAACATTGCTTTTTGATGAGGAAAAATACCGTACAAGCAAAGCAATGTCTTAATAAGTGTTATGGGACTCTTCTCCGTCTAGGCAAATGGTAAAGAAGTGGTTTGTTGATTTTATACGTAGTTGTACAGACACAAATGATGGTGCCCAAATCGGCAATTATTACAGAAAACATAAAAAAGTCCACAAAATGGTTTTGGCCGATCGTAAATTGAAGTTGCGTGAGATAGCTGATACCCTGAAGATATCAGAAAGCAGTGTATTCAACATTTTGCATGAACATTTGATCATGAGAAAGCTCAGTTCGAAATGGGTACCGCGTTCAAGCTCAAAGTGGACCAAAAACAACGAGTTGATGATTACGAGCGCTGTTTGGAGTTGTTCAAGCGAAATAAAATGGATTTTTTCACTCCAGTTGTCAGCTGAGTAGTCAGCAAAGGGCGAAAGCTGTATTTTGAGATAAATATAAAGATAAATGTATCACTCTTGAAGTAGACTAAGTTGATGAAGAAAGTCGTTGTTGTTGTTTTATTAGTCATCCTACGTACTTATCATTTATTTTGTTTATTTATTTTTTGTAATTGGAAAATTTTCAATGTACGTACGTTTATTTAACAGTTAAGGCGGTAAATAGGAAATTAAACTATGTTTTGAAATCTAAACCATAAACCGATAAATTTATTACTAAACTTAAGCAATTGGTAGGTTGAGTAATTAAATTTGAATGTTCTCATCATTCTTCCTCCTAAAATCAGTTAAGAATATATAATACCACCCACATCGACCATAAATAGTTTTAATTCATCTTTAATTTCTTCCGCATCAGTGAAAGTGTATGAAGAAGCATTAGGAGGATGACCTAAATTAGATTATGATTATTTTCCCATGCATTCTCCCAGTTCATATTCATATACGCAGAATAAATAAGCTTTCTTTTAACTTATATTTATGTAGTAACAAGTAAAATTTATAAAACATCAAATAAAATAATTAATTATTCTAGAAAAAATAAAATTTCATTCAAAACTTGTAATGAAAATATGAGCAAGTTTATTTTCTTTTCAAATATTTACATGATTTATGGCGTATTAATTAAAATTTGAGAAATATTTTAACTGATAAAATAATTAATTAATCTATATAAAAAATGCTTCATATTTCAAATTTATAATTATGCATTTATAAGATTTATGAAGTATTAAATAAAATTTGTGAAATATTTCATATTATAATTAATTTGCATCAAAAATGCTTTATATTCAAAACATTTCGATTGAAAGGATTTAATAAAAATTGAAATATAAACAGGAATTTATTTTTTTTCTACAAATATTTTAAATACATATAATCTTTAAGATTAACGTCGGATGGATGAAAGAAATAGAAACAGTAATCAATTAAAACGCAGGCAAATACCTTTCATTTAAATTCCTTAATCTCGAGCATAATAAACCATTGAATTATAAGGCATAGCATATTCTTATCGTCGACTTCCACATATTTTCAAAACACGCTTCAGGAAACATTCATAGACATGACTTATTAATCAGATACTGGAAATATTCTCTTTGCTCAGCCTCCATAAAATTCGTAATTTCTGCGGCATTCGTTAATTACAGTTTTCTGTTATTGTTGCGAGTGTTTTCAGATTAATTATTTTGCAAAGTTGATAATTGGTATTAAATATCTATAAACATTTCTAATCTAAATAAATTTTAAGCTTTGGTATTCCTTAATGACAGATTCAGAACCGTGTAATTCCATGCAATTTCCACATTTTCCAACTTACGTTACATTTAATCATGTTCTTAATAATTCTTTATTTTCTCTTAATCTTGAATTATATAAAATTTAATATATTTAAATCTTTCATTCAACAAAAAAATGTATTCCAACTTATCTTGCATTTTGAAATTACTATATTACTATATGTTAATTCGTAAAGAAACTAAAAAGTTTTTTTCTAATAACGAAAATTTTTATTCAATCAGGATGATTTCCAGTACAAAAACTTGTTAAATGTTATTTAAGCATCTTTTAATACCTTCGGTTTTTAATTCAAATATTTCACTGAAAAATCTTCGGACATTTGCGACCTTCCTTATACTTTTAGAAAGCTTTAGAGGTAACATTAATCCAGGTATATTTCTTGAATTTTTCCCCTTTTGTAAGTATTTAGTTGTTCGATAGTCTTGGCGAAACCGGTTATCCGTAGTATTCTAGGTATTACTATATAACTTTTTCATTCAATAATAAAACTTATTGTTTAACTTTTTGCATTTACAAATAAATTCTCTTTTATTTCAATCTTGAATTATATAACATACATGATCGCATTTTCCCCATTTTGTATGTATTTAAGTTTTCAATATTTTTGTTTCAAATAGTCCGGAATATTGGCAGAACCGATTATCCGTACTAGTATCCGTATCCGTTTCGAAGTATCATTATATAACTTCTTCATTCAGTAATAAAACTAATTGTCGATGTATGCAACTTAACTTACACCATAACATTTGCATTAGCAACATTTTATTTTGAATTGTCGATGAGTTTCATTCAAATTATTACCTTACATTAATTATACAATATTACATACTTAGTAAATCTCAACACATTATTTTTTATGAAAATGTTACACGTTTAATCAACTAAAATACGTCAGTCTCAAATAATTACTTGCACAACACTTACAATTTAATACTCAGTAATTGCTTTGCTATGTTTCTGTTGGAAATAGTCGATGTTATTGATTAAAATTTCTTTGAATTCTTAGGAAAGAATTACAGGTGATGCATAAATAATTTCAAAGTCTTAATGATTATAGTCAAGCGCGTCTGACTTAACGGTATTTCACCAGATGCTGTCGATTACTTGCAAATATTTATATCTGAAAATGTTCGCAATTTTTTTTTCATTCAAGAATTATGCATTAAGTATTATGTTGCTTGTTTCTTAAGATTTATTATTACTTATGTTGAATTGTGTATATACATTTGATTTTAGATTTTACAAATACATTATATAAAATATTAATGTTATTAAGATTTATACAAAAATTGATTTGAAAAAAAAACTGCTAAAATTATTACAAAACTGAACGCACAAATCAGTACAGTTTGTCAATTTCTTTAATATTTATTGAACTTCATAAACATATAAAAATACATACTCCATGCAAAAGCAAATAAAATAAATCAATGAAAATATAACTTTTTTTTTATTAATGCATATCTAAATAACTGGAACTGCATATCTAAATAACAAAATATTTAATAACTAATCAAACATCATTTGAAGATTTATTGCAAGGTGGATTGTTTGTACTGTAGATATATCCAGTTTTACATGTTTTTAATGTAACTTTATACCACCAAAAGACTCTAATACATTCGTAATATTGGTTAACTTTGGTGGCAGGATAATAGCCATTCATTCGACACTCAGGAGGTGTAACTGCAACACAAAACATATTACATATTAATGAACACTTCAATATAATTGTCAGCTTCAGTATGTGAAGAATACTGGTTTTGAATAAATAAAAGGTGTCCCAAAATTAACGTAAGATTTGAATTTGTGTAGTAAAGTGTCAAATTGTTTGCAATTGGGTTGCAACACTTAACTGCACAAATGGCGGCAAATTCAAATCTTGCGTTAATTTTGGGACACTCTTTATAAGTAAAATAATGAATGTATAATCTCATTCAACAATATTTTATTCAATAAGCTGATATGTTAATATTTTTAATTGGAATAAAATTCAAGTAATTGAAAGTATATATTTACTAACATGTGTGGAAAGCAAACACAAACAACCTGATTGGACTGCAAATTTTTGTCTAGCAAATGATTTTCCCAATGGTCACATTTAATTTTTTATTTTAAATTTGCGTAGAATTAATATATTTGTTCATATTTTTATTTGTTCTAGTTCCTCTAATAATAAATAGGAAACTATGTGTAAGGCTTACAGATCGGATTACTGTCTAAACTACCCATCAACAACAAGGGTTCGTAGGTGGTTCAAGTCCAAGTCAAGCTTATTGCCCAAGAAGTATGTGTGTCGACGTTGAAGTTCTCAATGGTCGGCCTATTCATTAACACTAAACTTACCTACACTTAATATATACATACTCATACCGTGGCGGGTCAAAATACTGGTTTTTAACACTATTTATATTTCTTAATATATAATGAAGATAATATACAATTTGACAGTAAAAAATATAATTATCTATATTGCTAATATTTCCACATACGTATTTTTTCCATTTTAGACATATGTTATTAGTTTGTTCACATGAACGTGTACATATATATGTGACTGGTGTTGCTTGATCTTTTTTGTCTAATGGTTGTTCTTTTTGATTTTTAATTCTTACCTCGAAATTTCTTCTCCCAGGGTTTCTTTATATAAATCGTATGCATTAAACCGGGTTAACTTTAGAATATTGAAAAATACCTATAGGAGATGGCCTAGATTTAGATTTTATTTTCTGACCATTTGGTCGTTCACATCTACAACGAATTTGGTAAACGGGCATAATTTTCCTCAACTTCTAAGAGTTTATGCATTGAACTAACAATCAGTTCTTTTGGTTTAGCTTTGTAAATTGTTACAGTACAATTATTTGACCGATATAATTTTGTTGGGAAACGTTTCATATTGTACTTTTCTGTTTCGCCAATTTTGTATTCCGGGAAAGACTGATTAGGCTATATATAACATATCTGTATTCGCTCTCTTTTCATCCTGTACCTACCAAGGTAGGTAACACACTACACATTTTCCGTAGAAAACAAGAAATAAAAGTGAATAGTGAAAAATGTGTAGCGGTTACTTACCACCCTGGTGCGGTGCGCCCCACTTCAGCCCGTAGCTGGTATTCCGGGAAGGACTGATAAGGGAGGTAGTACCCTTAGTAATAGTAAGTTTAGGCTATATAAGCTACAACATATCTGTATTCGGTCAGTTCTGTGCTCGTAGTCGACTCGCAGATATTCAATCAGACGATGTTGTCATATTTTCTTGTGTACATTGTTCTAGAAAATTTTAAAGTATTAGGTTGAATTTTGAACTCTATACGGTATTTTAAATATATCGGAATCCTACATTTGTAGTGATAGTGTTATCGGCTGCATGATTTTATATTACTTTTTTAGTATTCGGCTTTTTATGTCTATTTCGTTTGATTGCCTTCTGCACCCTCGAGCCGAAACTTGATGTTTCGGAAAATCGGGAAATATTTTTTGAGCTATCCACTTCCATCTTAGTAATAACAACTAATTACACCGTGCGCATCCGATGATACGCAAAACTCAAAAAGAGAGCACGAACATAACACGAGAAACGTTATAAAAGCTACAGAAGAAGCGACCGTGTCTCGAATCGAATCGAATCGAATCTGCAAGATTTCTAGAAAATTATAAAAGGGTATAGGTATATAATACCTACAACAGTCATTGGTATATCATTCAAAGGATAGTTGAAAGAAAATAGGATACAAATGAAAATCGTAATGGCCAAAGCACCGACGAATATTCAGACATTGAAGATATTCCACAGCGGAAATGGTCGCAATCAAGTGCGATATAATGTAATTGATGCGAGTAAACTCAAATTCATAAAGTGCACAAAATTGAGCAATTTACGGGATATTACATTGATTAACAATATTAAGAACGTACTACAAAAACAAGCAAATAATGGTGAGCAAATTGAGGTATGTGAAGACAAAGAAAATCCGTTATTGCAGCAAAAGAGTGATATAGAAGAACCTAGTGTCAAGTCACCATTAACTGAAGAATCTGAAGATAATTTTAGTCCAACTTACTCGTCTGAAGAGAATTCTTCACATGAATCAAACTCACTCTACCACATCCATCCTAATAATGAATGGCTTTTTCCAAAGCCGCTGAAAATTCTAACTTATGAGAAAACAGCAACAACAAAGAAAAATACCATTAGCAGTTCACCAGTGAAGTCCACCATTCAGGTAAGTCAATCATCACAGTCAAACTTTTATGTGAAGAATAAGGATTTTTTCGATGGGTTGGATTCACTAGCATTCTTGTAGTAGAAATTATACAGTAAAAGCTATAATTAGGCAATTTGTTCTGCAATTAACTTTGCAAAATATCATGTACATATTGTATTTTTTGTAAATAACTGTGTATTTTATACAATTTTGTACGATTAATAATAAAATAAAAAGATTTTGAATATTTTAAGGATTTCAGTTGTTTTTTTTTAAATTAACTTTCTTTTATATACAAAATATTATTAACAGCTGTTATAAATAAATAAAAATCCATATGTATTTTATATAAATCAATCAATTAATTCGTGTATTTCAATAAAACAAATTAAATATCTATATAACTTAGTGCGTTTTTCAATTTACAATAATGAATCGATTAATTCATATTCATAGATTTATACAGTAAATGACATTGAAATGATGATTATTTATAATAATATTTTGTAAATTTTTAAGTACATACCTGTAGTAGTAATCGATGTAGTGGTGATGGTATGTCTTTCTGCAAAAAAAAAGTCAACAAATTAAGAAACTATTATTTTTTTTTAAAAAAGCTATCATGTAATCTTGGTGTAAGTATTTCAAATATAAAAATATTACTAAACGGTTTTTGAAAACCGGTTTCTTGAAGAAATTTTATAGATAGAATAGTTTAGAGGCCATGATAGATATATTTCTATACTTAAAAGAATATGTTTTTTTAGTTCTCGATGATTCTCACATGTGAGATTGTAGAGATCTTTAAAGTTTGCAATGCAAATATATTTAATAAATATATTCAATACCCTGAACAAGTGTTGGTCCTGTCCTAAGACATTAAAAAAGTAGTTTTTAGTAAAAGATGTTATAAACAGAAGAACGAAATTTTTAGATTAATTATTTAATTCTCTAAAGACAATTACACAGCTTGGTAGCATGTGAGACAGTTTTTCTATTTCTGGAAATTTTGAATATGAAACAAGGACTTGTTTGTGCAATATATTAATGTTTTCCTTAGTAAAATTATTTGAGATAAAATAAGAAATAAAATAATACTTTATAATTATTCGTTTTTCTATGCAGTAAATTTTAAATGCGTTTTTGTATAAACCACACTAAACAATATTCAACACATAATTTTGTAAAGGGTGTCCCAAAATTAACGAAAGATTTGAATTTGCCGCTGTTTGTGCAGTATGATTCAATAAAAATAAAGACAAGACTAAAAACTGTGTTTTCTATTTAATTCAAATCTTGCGTTAATTTTGGCATATCCTGTCCTGTAGCTTAATCTTTCCGCGTTAAATGAACGGTGGACTAACACTATTAAAATACAGACATACGTCATTTCCTATGTCCGTTATCCATATTATACGAAAAATAATCGAATACTAAAAAGATTAAAAAAAGAACAAAAAAATATTATGGAATAAAACGTTGATTTCATATTAAAAAATTATAAAGCACTTTAAAATGATTGTGTTGAAGTACTGGAGGCAACGTCTTTGTAATTTACATAAGTTATGTTTATGTCATCTGATCTTATGGTTATAGGATATTAATGCTTAAGCACTGTGCATTTATTTGTAATGTTATGACTTAATTCCGCACGAGTTTCACAAAAACCAATATTGAAAATTACAATGCACACGTAGCATAAATTCAACAGTTCATAAGAATTCTAACAGTACATTGAAGGATATTCTATAACCAGTATAACAAGTTTACATTATAAAAGTCATAGATTTTTTATAGTATATTAACTTTGAGGAAAATATTTTTATTTCTGTTTTTTTGTTTCATATTATTATTCAATTACAATTTATTATAAATTTATTGCAGAAACTATATTTTTAGTAATTTTTATTTCATTGTAAATTTTGCTTCAATGACAATGTTAAAAATTGTTTCCAGGATGTAAAAGAGAGAAAAAAACTTTCATTCTGTTCATTATATAGTGGAGGAACTACATCAATTATTATATTTGACAGTAAGTTTATGTAATGCAATTGTTTTATAAGTTATATAATAGAAACAGTGCGCATTTGTGCGAGCTAAAAGCTATAAACTTGTATTCAAAACTTACCAGTAGCAATTTCATCGGTGTCGGTAATTGCAGTTGTAGTTGGTGGATACGGCATGCATCTGTAACGAACGGCAACGAAAACAAAAGAATGTTATCTACGTTCCTCGAAAATACTTCCAATTACTTTTGTATTAATTTGCATAGTGAAAACACGCACGCAATATTCAGATGTTATCCGTTTTACATAGAAATTATTTATAATTCAATGTGTATATATTCTACGGTACATTGCTTTTCCCGATGATAACGCTTATTTATTATTTTACATAAACAAAGGATGCAAATATTATAAATCAGCGGTTCTCAATCATGAGCCAATATTCACTGGGATAAAAAAATTTATGTCGCAAAATGACAGCTATCACCTTGGTCACAAGCGAGAAATACTTATTAGTTGTCATCTCATATAGTACGGTTTCTATATAAAGCAAAATCAAAATTTCAACAATCTTCCTATAACGCGTTTATCTTATAATACTGTTTCCTCATAATACTTTTATAGTACGGTTAACATATAAAGCGATATTAGAATTGCGACAATCTTCCAATAACACGGTTCTCTTATAATTCTGTTTCCTTATAATACTCATATAGTACGGTTTCTATATAAAGCGAAATCAAAATTTCGAAAATCTTCCTATAACGCGTCTCTCTTATAATACTGTTTCCTCATAATACTCTTATAGTACGGTTTCCATATAAAACGAAATCAAAATTGAGACAATCCTCCTATAACGCGGTACTCTTATAATGCGGTTTCATAATAATACTATTATAGTACGGTTTCCATATAGAGTGATATCAGAATTGCGACAATCCTCCTATAACGCGGTTTTCTTATAATGCCATTTCCTAATAATACTCTTATAATACGGTTTCCATATAGAGCAAAATCAAAATTGCGACAATCCTCCTTTAACGCGGTTCTCTTATAATGCTGTTTCCTCATAATACTATTATAGTACGGTTTCCATATAAAGCGATATTAGAATTGCGACAATCCCCCTATAATCCGGTTTTCTTATAATGCTGTTTAATAATAATACTCTTAAAAATCCGGTTTGCATATAGGGCGAAATCAAAATTGCGACAATCCTATAACGCGGTTATCTTATAACGCTGTTTCATTATAATACTCGTATAGTACGGCTTCTATATAAAGCGAAATCAAAATTGCGACAATCCTCTTATAATGCGGTTCTCTTATAACGCTGTTTCCTTATAATACTCTTATAGTATAATACTCTTATAGTAACGATGTTTTCTTATAATACAACTTAATTTGCTTAAAAGCTATTTCAGGAAAAACAAGTTTCGAATCTACAGTTTAGATCAAGAATTAATTGATATATCTAACTCAATACATTGGTAGAAAAAATGTGTATAAACAATGAATTGATAATTTCAATTTGAGTGATGTGAATATAAAACTTGATTTGCTTATAGAATTATAATTAGGTTTCCATAGAACTCAGAATAAAACTAATTTGTATATTTATTTTACAATGTATTCATTAAATATAACGCATTATAAGAGAATTGATTGTACAAACAAATATTTTGATTGTTGTGGTAAAAAGGTTGAGAAACGCTGGTTTAAATTATTCAAATCAGTAGACTTACGGTGTATCCGTTCTCTCGTGACAAAAATGATACTCCGGACAATTCAGGACTACACCAAAATCGAACGTACGATCGAATATCGTCACGTCCAGAGTGAAAGTACTTTCGTTCACGCATCGCACATGAGGTTTGTCACATCCTAATGCTTTCCCATAGGTAATTAACAGTCCGATGATGAGCTGCAATCAACATTGTGACTTATATGGTTGTCTCGATGGGTTCACCTACTCACCCAAAACGCTGTTCCCATTACACTACTGCACATTTTCACTATTGTTTTATTTTTCTTTAATCTAAGATTCACTCGTCTTTTATACTGAACGAATCTACGTCAATTAAGCTTTAATCATCTCATATTCATTAAATTATATCTATTAACAGCTTCATTCAAATTAAAGGATTAAATACATGCATTTTCGGTTTTATTATCAGATTAACTAAGATATGAGTTTATAAAGTGTTATACGAAAAATCGTTTGTTTAACATATGCGGAATATTTTGCAATTCCACTAATAACAGACTCTATGCAAATATTGCTTTTCCAAGAAAATAAACTTAAAGAGAAATTTTATTAATTTTGTATAATCTCCAATGCTTGTCTATAAAATAAGTGCGTATATTTATATTACATGGATGTATTTGAGAAAATGAGAAAACTCTTTATTACAACATAAATAGATTTGAATCATAGTAAACCCACAAATTACAGGATTAATTGGTTCTGTCATATTAAAAACTGTGATACTATTTGATACTACAGATCCTTAAAGTAAGACTTTTTAATAATTGTTAATTTGTACTTTAAATCATGAAATTGAATTATCAAGATATTCTTTGTTTATAGATTTGATAAAAAAAATTTCTCCGTTTATGAATTATCACTTTAAATAGGTATAAACGCGTTAGTTAGTAAACATTTTTTTCTTTATTGTTTTTATATTTCTATTACTATAAAATTAATTTACAGAATAAAATAATCATAATATTAATTTTCTTTGTAATATCTTCATTAATTTAAGTTGATTAAAAGTATTACAACATACATTTTGATGTTAGAGAAATATATATGATTAAGTTGTTTATTTTTCAATAAATTCAATAAAAATCTAAATTAAAGCTATTAATTGTCATACTTCAGTTAAAATTACCTCTAATAACGAAGCTTTGGTATCACGAAGTCTGCAATTTGAAGCCCCAACCAGAAGTTATTCTAAAAGAAGAAACTAACATACAGGAAATTGGAAATGAAGATATTCAAAATAGCTCAATTAATATGTTTTTAAAATGTCCATGAATATTTCATACTTTTTTCTCTTTATTTATGTAATTTTATATTTATCACAATATTTTGTTTTAATAATTCATATTAATTTTTTGTCACGATAATAATAAGATGAGAAAGAGACATATATATACACTGTATACATAAACGTTATCTTATTTGAATGAAATTGTTTATAGAATTACGTAATTTCAGAGTAATTATTAATAGCAACTTAAAGACTCAGGTCGATAGTCCTTTGACCCAAATGAAGGTTAATAAAATTTATAAATAAATGATTATGTTATTATATTTTTATGTTTTTATAAGTCAATTAGTTGTAAAAATGTACACCAAATAATACATAAAATATATTTATATTTAAATTAATTTATTTACATTATTTAATATTTAAAAACTTGAATACAAATAAAAAATAATCACACTTTTTATGAATAACACGTGACATTTTGATAAATTTGTGACACTGTACAAACATCTTATTGAAAACATTAATTTAATTTAAAACGCTATAGGAAAATGTCAAGGGCTTGCAGGCCCTTAACGCTTGGGCCCTTAGGTAAACGTAAATAATTTACAAAAACTAATATATACAATTATTTCACATAATTTAAAATAATCCATTTTTACATTCATCAAATTACTTCGTAGAGTTCGGCTTCTTGCAACAACAATAAACCATCATCATTTTTGTCCGTCTTGGATATTAGTAAAACTGCACACATGATCACCTGTAAAATATGAAATAAAATCATAAATAACCTTGTTATATATTAAATTAAAACATTATTTGTCAGAAAGATTTATGGTTAATAGCCTTTTGTAACAGTTATTTCATTATGATATATTTTTTATATTAGAGAAAATAAGTTATAAAAATCCTTTCTTTCTATTGTTTTTTTACGAAACCCGGTTTTTGTATAAACCCTAAGACCAAATATATGGAAATCGGAAGTGCACTCTGTCTGAGGATGAATACTGCAGGTGAAGTAATTTTTGTCCGTTAATTGTGCGAAACCAAACTTCAAAAACGCTTTAATTGATTGATAGCTTTAATATCTCTACTAATTATTCTCGATCAATGTCTTGATTTCATCATTATTATTAGCAGAGATTTAAGACTGAAATCACCAGTTTTATAAACCCTAGGAAAGGGATGTGGGTGACTGTGGGTGAAGTGATTTTTGTTCGTTAATTGTGCGAAACCAAACTTCAAAAACGCTCTTGAATTGATAACTTTAATATCTCTGCTAATTATTCTCGATTAATGTCTTGAGTTCATCATTATTACTAGCAGAGATTTAAGGCTGAAATTACCAGTTCTAATCTTAGCGAATTCCGAAGTTCTTTCAGCTAGAGCAACTTCTTCACAAACATCATATATCTTAGTTATTGCTTAGTGGTATTTTTGGTTTTCCAGTAATAGAAAAGTATCAAAGTCTAAAATGCAATTTGTTTTCTTCCATCTTCAAGAAGTTATTAAATTTTATCCGAATCAACCTTAATTCTCAAAACGGTTGATATATATAGGCTGTGACTGTTTCAATTAAAATAAAACTATTAGTATCGTTTTATTATTGAAGCTAATAACCATAGAAATCAATGCCCAAAAATATTAATTATGATTAATCATTTTTCATAATTAGACACTAATTTATATGATTGCATTAATTAAATGTATTATTAACTTTGTCTATTATCATGTTGTTTATCAAGTAAATGTAAATAAAGTAAAGTTCACTATAAATGCGATAAGTAAAAAAACATTTACTAGATTAATAATATATTAAAAAATGTACTTACAATTGCAAGGAACATGCAGAATTCCACATACATTTTTCCTAGAAGAACCAATCTTTTGTTTCGTTAATGTACTTTTTTTATAACAACTGAAGTAGATGCTGGAACTGCCTCAATGCAAAAGCAACACCAAACACAAATCGATATCACTATTATCTTATCGTTCGATTTATTTGTTTTTGGTTAGCATGATCACATTCACGTACAAACAAACAGAACAGAAACGTTTGTACACTACTCTAGGTGTTCAATTTGTTTCCAATATAATACTTGTTTCCCTAATCCGATTTAGGTTTAATCCAATTACCGAGTACACTTTGAATGGAACTGTGCTGCGCCGCGAGAGTTTCTAATAATATATTACGCTCGGTGATATACGATGTGACGTACGTATAATTATTTAAATATTATATAGTGCGTTCACATTCGATGTCTGCTTGAGGAATTCGATTAGGATTGGTGGCGTGTGACCGTCAAACAATTAGTGATAACACGAGCAAGGACGCAACACAATAAGAAAGACAAGTTAATGATTCAGTTTTGGTATATGTATTTTATCAATGATAAAATTGTATATGGTAAGACAGAGAAACAGATTATAATGTGTAAAGTGAATACAAGACAAAATGCTATTAAGCATATAGTCTGTTATAATAACGGAATGTAGTCTAGTGATTATAATAACGGAAATATAAAACAAATTCTCGACATATTTTACGTTTTTATTTCGTAAAGATAAGAAAATTAATGATGTTGATTGTTTGAGAAAATGCGCATGTCAGAATTAGTTAAAATAATCCATTCAGGAGATTTATTCGACCTATTGAAGTTTATGATGAAAAAATGAAAGTTATACGTAAATTGTATTGTCATATAACTGGGTAAGAGATTGCAAAGAGATAACTGAAAATCACTTAAATGTCTTTGTCATTAAGAATCTCTATATTCACATGAATCACTTAACACAACGATCAATATATGCAATATTCATCTAAAATGCAATGAAATCATAACTTTCCCTAAACAAATCATTACTAGTAATAAATGGATCGTCTACAATAACATCTATCGAAAACGATCTTGATCCAAGTGTGATGAACCAGCACAAACTTCATCAAAAGTTGAATTGCATCAAAAAAGAACTTGCTATCAATTTGGTTGAATTACAATGGTGTTGTGTATATTTTGAGCTGCAACCAAACAATCAATGAATACGTTTACAGTCAATAAATAAAACTGGAGGAAGCAATCAAAGAAAAATGGTCAGAATTGAGAAACAATGCATATTAAGGTAATTATAATAATTCATGAGCAAGGGGAAATATGTTTTACGAAATACAACTTTTCGAAACTGACATAATATCGAATTATATAGCAATTGTCATATTTACATTACTCTAAAACGATTGATTCATATTATTCATACGTTTTAACTTCATCAATATTTGTTCATATAAGTAATTCTTTTAATATACAATTATTTTATACATTCTAGAAGTTACAATCTTCATATATATTTCTATATATAATACCTAGTTATTTATAAAATTATCAAATAATATCATATAATATCGACATTATAAAATTTAACTAAAACAAATCTAGTAACATAAAATAATATTGTCATGACTTTACAAAGGAATGAACAGTATGAAAATGTAAAAAAAATATTCTGGAATTATGGACATATATTAATGATGTTTTTCTAAAACAAGCTAAGATGTATGTGTTATATATAATACACAGCTCTGTCGCTTCCTCGACATCTCACAGGGGTTCAACCGAGTATGGCATGGAGAATTGTCTCCCACATGAATATTACGTCATATTCAAATCGTACTTGACTGGGAGGCACTTCCAGGTCAAGCACAAAGACAAAGTGACCTTGCTACGCCCAATCCTCTCTGGTGTCCCGCAGGGAAGTGTTTCTGGACCCTTACTCTATTTGATCTTCACGGCTGATCTACCAACTCCTCAGCACGCCACTAGAGCCACATTTGCTGATGACACCGTTGTTCTAGCATCCCACCAAAAAAGAACTACGGCCTCACAGATACTCCAAAGAAGTCTGAATGGCATAGAACATTGGTTCAGAAAGTGGAGAATTAGGGCTACTGAAACTAAGTCAGTGCATGTAACGTACACAATGCGTCGACAAACATGTGGTAGGGCACTGCCATTCAGTGTAACGGATGGACACTGAATGGCAGTGCCCTACCACATGCTGATGATGCTAATTATCTTTACATGCACCTGGAAAAAGCATATTATGACAAAAAGAAAACAGCTGGGACTGACAGTAAAAGAATGCATTGGCTCATGGGTAGATACTCATCCATCTCAGCGGAAAACAATGTTTTAATATATAAAACGACAATAAAACCGATATGGACTTATGGATTACAACTATGGGGACCTGTTTGTAATACAAACATTGACATCATACAGCGTTTCTAGTCAAAAACTCTGAGAGCAATTGCCAATGCTCCCTGGTTCTCGACTAACGAATACATTCGTCAATACACTGGAGTCCGATTTGTGAAGGATGAGATAACGGAACTCAGCAGCAAATACCACCATCGGCTGGAGGACCATCTAAACCAACATGCATTTGAACTTAGACACACTGAATCTCATCGACGAATATTGAAACGATTTAAAGCACAGGAACTTCCTAATCGCTTTTAAAGTTAGTGTTAGTACTTAAATTGACAATAAGACTTGTTTACTTGTATGTGTTCGTGATTTTTTCTTTAATGAACACTCTGTGGAGTTTGGTTGCTGGATCAATCTCCAATATATATTTTTAATTTTTTCTCACTATTAAGCCCAGAACTGGAGCATTTTATCTGTTTTTTTTTTCTTTTTATTGTAGATAGATTGCTTTGTAACTAATAAAAAAAATACACAGTGACAGTTGTCATTTCGCGATCCAAATGACAGTTGAGAAAAAGTGATAGCTAGGAAATAATCAAATACTATTAGTAATTGGGTTGCAGTATAACCAAAAATAAATAGGTTTAGAAACGCTGTTCTTCAAACCATATTATTACTATAGGTATTTATTTCAGTTTTACAAATTTAATCTTCTTAAATATACATATGTAAAGTGAAGAAACAAATCTTTAAAATTGTTATTTTATTAAAAATCAACATCAAATTTCAATGTATATATATGGGGAAATATCTTATAAACTTTATGCAATTACGGTTGTCTGCACACGCTGAAATCTCGCTTGCATGTATTATCCGAAAATATCTGACTGCAGTGCATCATCTCCTGCTCATACCAACACCACTTCTTCTTACATCTGAAGTAGTAGTCTGCCCCTACTGGTCCTGACCTGCAAGGCATCCTTCCGCTCAATCCATCGTTACAATCCGGTAGTACTATAACAATAAAAGTAATGTTGATTGATTCACGAATATATATGATTCATTGAGGGAAACTTACCGAATGTTGTATTTGTTTCCGGAACAGTAATACCACCTAAATATATAAAACAAAACATTGCAGCTAATTAGTTTTTATATTAATTCAAAATTATTGTATACGTATCAAATACAAAAGGAATTTGACTACTACAGTTTTGTACGCACAATGTGTGAGATAAATATAGAAATATTAAGGAAAAAATGTTATACTTAATTTAATTATGAACTTACGTATATTACCTGTATTTTCGATGCATCTATAAGAAAAGAAAAATACAATTAGTATTTTAGTAAATATAAGAAAAATACGACAGAAAGACATTAAAATAAAGTAGTGAATAATTTAACAAATATTTCGTAGAATTTAATAAAAAAGAACAATTTTTGGAATAAAATAATGTTATTCGATTTACTTCATATCAGTATATCTACTACTAATTGATTTGTCATACTTTGTTCACCTATATTTATGCATGTAACACGATTTTTTATGCAAAAAAATATGTTTTTAGATTTACAATTATTAATTGTAATTTAATTTAAGAAAATTGTATCAATGTATTGTAAAAAAGAACCGTTGAAAGATTTAAAGTTCTTAAAATTAGGCAAAATTATTCAAGATTTTTTAATACATTTTAATCAATATGATTCAATTTAGCACAAAGTTTGTTCCTCAATATTTAAATAATATCTTAAAAAAAGTATAAGTCAGCTGTGAAAGTTACTAACTTATCATTTATTAATTATGAGTGAGAGTCAACTAAACAAACTCTAAAACAAATATTTTATCTTAATAATATGCAAGAAATTCTACGATATTTCAAAATAATGCTGAGTCTTACAACAAAAAATCAAGTTATATTCTAGTTTTTTTAGATAATTTAGCACATAAATTAGAAAATAATGTTTCCAAAAGTTAAAAGTAACTATTTGGACTTTATAAAAATATATTAAATTATACTTACGGCGAACAAGGTTGTTTGTTATTCTTATTGCAAATACTGCCCGTTTTGCAATTCATTTCCATTTGTCCAATGATGACAACAGATGGTTTATTTGGAACACACTTGTAAATAGGTTCTTGGCACTTTGACTCTACACAACTATTGAATTAATTAATTTTTGTTTAACGATACAATAAATACGAATACTTACGGATCACAGTTGCCCGGTTCTGGTTTTTTGTTACAAATTTTATATTTAGGACACTCATATGTCTTATTTAGAATTTCCACGTGACTCTCGTCATTTGAAGTACAACTGAATTGTTCATTACAACCCATGCATCTATAAAAATCAATATAAACATCGCAAAATTTGTAATTACATATTTAAACTTACGGAGAGCATGGATAAAAGTTATTGATGTTACACAGTTCATCATTCATACAATTCAATTTGTGAGTTCCAATCGTTACGTAAGTAAGATCGTTCTTGTTGCATTTGAAGATTGGCGCATCTGGGCAATCGTTGTTGGCAACTTGACTGTCAATCACTATTACCATCCCATATAGGACTAAGCCCACAACAATATCTGTAAATGTATATAAATAAATATGTAAGAAATATATTATAATCTTGGTAAAGTGATGTCTTACTTTTGAACTGAATCATGGTGAATCCTGACTGACAGAACATGAAAACATGTAGATCCTTAAATAGTCATTTTCTTGTGTAAAAGAAAAATTGCATTATTTATTAATGCAGCATAATCTAACCTCAGTAAAAATTATTAAATATTTACATATAAAGTTATCAGTGTCGCCGTCACAGTATTTACACAGAACTTAATACTATTTGAACACTTGTTTATAAAATACATATAAAACATTGATTAATATACTAATTTCAGGAAGTTTCAAAATATTAATGAAGAAATTTATTGCAACAATAAAAAAAAACAAAATTAAATATGTTTATACAATAATAATAAAACAAAAAGATAAATGCTAAATAATATATGATTTACATATATAAGAAGTAAAATAAATTGATTTGTTTTAATGAAGGTCGCATAATCAATTATTTAGATAATTAGATTTTAATACGTAAAATTATAACAATAAAATAGAAAAAAATTAAAACAAATGAAAAAATAATATCAGTTATTATTCATATTTATTGTTATAAAAAAAGCTTCAATTCATATCAAATTGGAAATAATGCAAAATACAGCAAGCTTTAGTTATTTTCTTGTTTAACTTATCAATATTGCTTTGTATACTTGCGTTTATTAAAATTTTATATTTGAAATTATAAATAAATATAACGTTAAGAATGTAACTTTGACTGTTCTTTGAAGGATTCACACTATCTAACAGCAATTATAGTAATCATATGTTAATAAAGTAGACAAATGAACCTTGCGTATATTTATTATCTTTTTTCTAGAACTTCATGATTATTGTAATAATGTTCATAGCTCAGAGCAAATATTTTATTTGAATTAATTAAAAACTTAATAGTAATGCTTATTAAATTAACTGATATTTATGTATATACAATAATAAAAAATGACATTTCATCATTGTAATATAATTGTTAAGATTAAAACTAAGTAAATAAATGTATAAATAAATGACTTATATTGGGTCGGTAAGAAAGTTTTCTAGTGTGAAATAAAACTCTTTTTTATATAGAAAGAATAAACTATAATCAATTATATATTTTCTATTTTGTCCGATGACATTTCATCATCTTTCTGGCAACTTAATGATTCCACGCTCAGAGAACTTCTGGTCCTTATCAGCAAAAACCTGTACGAACTGCGATTTCAGGATATCATTTTTAGTTCTACCATTCAAAGAGTTTCGCAAACTTCAAAATAAATGGTAATCTGATGTTGCAATGTCAGGGCTATATGCGAGATGCGACATTACTTTCCAACCAAGCTTCAATCATTTTTGATAAGATACCAAACGTGGGCAGGGATTTTGGTAAAATTGGTTAATTTTTTTCTTTGATTGCTTCAGTTTCATTATGAATTGTAAGAAAAATGACTCGCTTAATGAGCGACGCATAACGAGTCCCGCAGACTCGAAGAGAAGTCCCGCATTGCGCACCAGCTACATCATTTTTAAAACTTTTGTACACATATTATGTGTATTTTTTCCTACGTTTGACTATACGAGTAAAAATCCGGAAATTTTCGAATGGATTAAACTCATTAAGCAAGGTTCCAATGTATGTCAAAATGTTCGTTTTTGCAGTTATGTTAAAATTGACCCTAAACTAACAGCTGCAAACAAAATTAAACGCCATTGGCTTCTAAAGGAAGCTAAAAGTGACATATTTCAAATGACAAATAGAAAAAATTCATTACAGTGACAACTAAACTAAACTAACATAATGATATACATTTGTGAAAACCGAAATTATTTTTTCTTGCCCGGCGCATCCACAAAATAGATTAAAATTGTAATGTAATATTAGTTATACATTTCAATCTTTATTGTATTATTTTTTAAATTCTATTTTTGTATTATAATGTATGCAAAATACAAATTAATGTATAAGACAGATTAACTTAATCCATGCATCTATTTAATATATAATGGATAAATAAAAAATAAATAAATTAATAAAATTTTATAATATATTAATATTAACTGTATTATTATATTATAATCAAGATAAACATTTTTTGGTATAAAGTGTATCTTGATAAGAAACTACCGAAATGTGGTTACTTTAGTGCAAATAAACAATTTTAGTAGAAAGTTTCCATTCTACGTAAATAGGGATATCATGTTCGAAACAAACTACATAATTTAAAATGTTTTTTTGATGAAAAATAAATAAGGATTTAATACATAAGTAACACACGTTAATGTATGATAATTTATTTATGTACATATTTCACTTAACTTTATTTACATTAAAAACTGTGCAATGGAATATGCTGAGACAAATACTAAGGAATAATTTATTAATATATTTATTTACTTTAAAGTTAATTGTTACCATGAAATATATAACTTAAATTGTTATTTTATTATAAATCAACAAAAAAAAATACATTAAATATAATTGGGAAATATCTAAACCCAAAAGGTCAAAGAACCTAAGTGGTTATTGTAATGACAGCGAGGAAGTGAAAATTGCTATTGAATGTGATTGCACGAATGCTAACTTAGAGTTATGTCAGAATAAGATATCCGATAGGGACGAAAGCAACCATCTCAAAGAGTCATTTCCAGAAGAACATTACGTGTTAGTGAATCCAATTGGTTATTGTAATTAAAGCAAGGTAGTGAAACTCCAGTTGATGCCATTAACAAAAGATGAGAAGAGATTCAGAAGTGATCAGATTGATTCAGATTGTTATTAAGTTTAAAATTAATTAGTACAAAGTAATTTATAACTTAAATTGTTATTTTATTATACATTTACATAAAATTACACTGAATATAATTGGAAAATATCTAAACATTTTCACAATGGCAAAACTTCAAATTTGTAACCCCACCTCAAAATATAATATAATATGCGGATCCCTAACATTTTTTTTATGAAAATTGTAAAAATAAAATGTATATTAAAATTCTTCCTCTTGGATTTTAAATCTTGTTGAATATATTTATTTGAAGAACTCAGGACAATTTAATATTGAGTTGAAAAAAAGTATAATTTTAAGTTAAAGAACATAATTTTTTGGCGCATTGTAGTTTGAACACTGCATTATATAATATTACTAATTAAGGTTTAATACAAATGTTAAAATCTCTAAGACATAAATTATCCGAAAGCTGTTGACTGCAATGCATCATCTCCTGCTCATACCAACACCACCTTTTCTTACATCTGAAGTAATAATCAGATCCTGCTGGTCCTGGTCTGCACGGCATCCTTCTACTCAATCCATCATTGCAATCGGGAACCACTATAAAATTTAAATTAAAGTTGATTCACAAAGCAATGAAGAAAACTTACCAAATGTTGTATATGTTTCCGGAACAGTTTTATCTTCTAGAAGTACTAAAAACATTGCAATTTACTTTATTAATATTTATAATAATAATAATAACTAAAATAATATAGTATTTATAAAAATATAAAAGTTCTATTGACTACAACAGTTTATCCGTTCAATATAAACAGACTTAGAGAAATATCATGAATGAAATATTCTATTTAATTTATTGAGATACTTACGTAAACTTCTAATATTCTCGATACATCTGTAAAAACAGAAAAATACATTTTTTTTTTCTAAATATTATAGATATAATTAATACATACATCGAATTTGATAAAGATTAAGAAAAATGCGTAAAAAATATTACTAAGCACTATTTATGATAATAATACTTACTTCATATAAATGTACATGAAGTAAGATCAAATTATACCAATGTTTTTTTTTTGAGATTTTACTAGAAAATTCTCTGTTGAATAAATCAGTATAGAATAATTTGAAAATAATCAAAACCAAATCTGTCTTATTCCTCGCCATCAAATTCGTCTTACAACTTAAGCTCTCTAGTACCTAAGTCCCACAATATTTTTAGGGCTTACAAGATTTTTTGTGACTTACGAATAAATATTAGATTCGTGGTAGGATTCAAAGATACATAATTTGTTAAGTGAGTAGGTTTAGTACTCACGACAACCTGTTAAATATCGTTAAAATATTTATGACATAAATTGGAAAATATTCTCAAAATCCAATAATTGCATACAAATGTTAAAAATGTTAGTAACAACACTGTATACATCAGGGTTGGTGAACCGGTGTAAATTACCCAAAAATGAAGATATAAATGAATATAATTTTGGATATTGAGTAAAAAAGTTCCCCAAACATGTACTACTTTATACTTACGGTGAACAAGGTTGTTTGTTATTTTTATTGCAAATACTGCCCCTTTTGCAACTCAATTGCATCTGTCCAATAATAACAGTAGATGGATTATTTGGAAGACACTGGTAGTAAGCTGGCTCGCATTTTGCCTCGACACAACTGTTGACAGAATTAATTAAATTTAGATTAACGATTCGTTAAATACAAAAACTTACGGATCGCAGTTCCCAGGCGTTGGATTATTGTTGCAAATATGATATTTAGGACACTCATATGTATTATTTTGCATTATAACATGATTTTCGTTTATGGTACATTGATGTTGGTCAACACATTTAATGCATCTATAAAATCAATATAAACATCTCAAAATATGCATTTGCGTATGTAAACTTACGGAGTGCAAGGGTGGAAGTTGTTTATGTTACATATTTCATCATTTAGACACTTCAATGTAATACCACCAAGCGTTACGAAAGTTAGATTGTTTCTGTCACATTTGAAGTTTGGCGTACTTGGGCATTGTTGAACGACATTTTGGCTGTCAATCACTATTATCAAGCTGTATAAGACTAAGCCTACAACTATATCTGTAAACGTATAAGTTTATAAGAATTTAGAAGTTTCTAAAAGAAAATGTATGAAAATTGTATTAGAGCAATTCCTTACTTTTTAACTGAAACATGATGACTCCTGACTGAGTATTAGAGAGCAACATTAAATACTCATTTTCTTGTAAAGAAAAATTGCAATATTTACTTGTACTTATATAAATAACCTCGTTGATAATTTATTAAGTATAAATGTTAAT